CTATTTTGGATTCTTTTATTTTCCTTTCCACCTCTGCTAAACACAAGACATTCATCACCGTACAGTGTCTTAACAGGAAAAGTTGAAGATAGAGTTCTGCATGATGAAGAGTTGGATTAGGATGCAGACCATGAACAAATTACTGACCAATTAAAAACTCATATTAAGCACCATGAGAGCCTCCACTGACATGGCACAGCCATTTTACCTTTGCTGCTAATCGAGACAGTTTAAATTTTTCAAAAAGAGAAAATAAAAGTCATATATACCAAAATGCTCAAAAGCATTAGACGAAACATGGCATGCTCATTAATTCCAGCACATATATAAAATGGATGAGAAAGATAAGTGCTAATACCGGCACACATATGATGGCTGTAGCAGCAGGTGGAAAAACAAGGCGCAGTCCGTCCGTGGGGTACTTGTGATGGCATCCATGAAACAGATAATGAATTGTGTTTCCCCTGCATCATGGTTCTCAACAAGAAGCTAGAAGGTTACTTGCCAATAAGCAACTGGCGCAGTTCTCCATGACAATGAACCTATAAATTATTTTTATACAATAAAAGAAACAAAATTCCCTATAATGCATAACCCTTTATCAAATTTGTTTTATATCTACTAAGAGTGTCATTGACATTTGGCGTATTAAACAGCAAGGTGTCAATGCTAAACGAGAGCTGATTCTACATGCTGCTTACATAAAGTAAGAAGACCTGAAATGAGCCATCAATAGGCAAACAAGTTAGGATGGAAAAGCATTTCTCTGAATGATTAAATGCAGACATATTAGTCTAATAATTTCCATTGTTCTTTCTGCGCAACAATTTGGCTGACCATCCACGGAACTCAAGGATTAGAACAGCTTTATCTGTTGACAGGAAAAAAGTTCTCTACGTCTTCTGGAGTTTGCAGCAGCTTCAAAGGAAGTTCCTCAGGTATAAGTGATTGAAAATGATAGACTGAAGAAAGTATATTTTCTGCACCCAGGCTCCCATGAAATTTATATGACATGGAATTATGATAGTAGAATAATGTTATTTCCTCAGTAGCACCAAGGATATCAACTAGCATCGTCTCGGAACTCCTCCTATACATGGCCATTAATTTTAGAAAGTCAAGGTTGTCCTGATTATTAGCCACCAAATGTGCCACTTCCTTCATTAGAGATAGTGATTGCCCAGACCCTGCAGAGAAATCTATAACGATCATCAAACATGGAACCCAAAGTGCATTAAGAATTTCGAGCACCCGGCAGATTGTTTAAACATTCTCGGAAGGCATCTAATCCCCTGAACTATAATAATTTAATGAAAAAAATCCCTCTTTCTTTCAGAAATTTTACCGGATTGGTTAGTCTTAATTTGGTCCACAATAAATTCGTCTGCAATATCCAAATTGGATCGGATAAAGCTTACCGTACTTACGGACTCTCAACTTATACTTGAATACCTTTACCGGTAGTATTTCTTAGTTATCTCATCTTACATCTCTTAGGATAGTGGATCTCTCGAATAATCATCTTTCGAGAACAATTCCAAATAGCTTTGATAATTTTATTGCCTTGAAAGGTTCTCCTACATTTGTCACAATTTATCCTACAATTTTGATGAGTTTTTATCCTAAAATAGCAGTACTTGAGGATCACATGTGGCTCTTCGTAAAAAGAAGTGAACTCGAATACAACAGCATGCTACTTTGGATCGATATAGTTATTGATCTCTCCAACAATGGTTTGTCCGAGTGCATCTCTAGAGAGTTGGGAAATTTGCATAGTCTGCGGAGCTTAAATCTATCTGAAAATTATTTGACAAGGGAGATACCAAACAACATTGATAGAATGCAACACCTAAAAATCCTCAACCTCTCAAGAAACAATCTCTCGAGTACAATTCTTTCGACTTTGGCAGCTTTAAACTTCTTGAATGATTTGAACTTGTCGTATAATAATCTCTCGAGTAAAATCAAACTTTAAATGATCTATCTATCTATATCAAAATCCAAATATTTGTGGGCCTCCTCTCCCAAAAAAAAAAATTGTACAGTTGGCCTGGCAAAACATACTGAACAAGAGAACTGAAATAATTTGGCTATGCATCTGGACTGCACTGGGATTTCTCGTGGGACTTTAGACGATCCATGGAAGCCTCGTACTTTCAAGCTTTTGATAACATGCATGAGAGGCTCCGCGTGCTGTTGGCAATGAATGTGGCAATGTTCAATAGATTGCTATCGGTAGGAGGAGGTCGAGGTGGTCGATCCAACGTTGGAATTTTCAATTACTGTCGAGCATTATGTAATAGACTCATAATTTGCATATGTTTTCTTGTCGTAATACGCTGGCCACATGATTTTAGTTTTTGTAGGACTTATCGATTCGTCTTCGATACAACCTTCCGTCTCTTATCTAAAAAGCTTGGTTCATTGAATTATGTGTTCTCTGCTTATAACAATATAATAATACAAAATAGTGTCACATTTTCACAATCCAATTTATGCTAATTTGATCACTAACAAAAGCATCTTGTTTTAATACCTCAATCACGTGAATGTTAGTTGCAATTTCTAAGAAATTTATGATCCCATGTAGATCGATCCAAGTTGGTGGGTCAAAATGACCCATCAAATCATGGATTGATTCAAAATACTTAAATCTAAATTAATAATAATATATACATATAATTATTACAATTGCATTTGTGTTATTTCTTTTGGTATAGGTAGGCCATTGGTCTTAAAATCCCAAAAACCAAATTAATTAGGGGGTTGGAAAATTGAATCCAATAATTCAATCCATGTGATTGTGAGCATCCGCAAACTTTCTCACATATTGACTCAGATGTACTTTTGATTCATGACACGGTTTGTGATACATGTGCTATGACAATTTCAAACTCTCTTTAAATCTCTACATCATTTGGTTAATGATTGATGTGGACGTAAGCTGTGGGAACAATCACTCCATGTACAATTTTCAACAACATGTGTTACATTTC